TGGAGTTCCAGGTCTCAGGCAGCCTCTGGAACTGCCGTTCTGCCGCCAACAAGGCTGACTTCATCCCAGCCTATGCTACCCTCCAGTCCCTCGACTTCCTGGCGCTGACGGAAACATGGATTACCACTGAAAACACTGCTACTCCTACTGCTCTCTCCTCGTCTGACCATGTGTTCTCGCATACCCCGAGAGCATCTGGTCAGAGGGGTGGTGGCACAGGAATCCTCATCTCTCCCAAGTGGTCATTCTCAATTTTTCCCCTAACCCATCTGTCTATCTCCTCATTTGAATTCCACGCTGTCACAGTCACTAGCCCATTTAAGCTTAATATCCTTGTCATCTATCGCCCTCCAGGTTCCCTTGGAGAGTTCATCAATGAGCTTGACGCCTTGATAAGTTCCTTTCCTGAGGATGGCTCACCCTTCACAGTTTTGGGGGATTTCAACCTCCCTACGTCTACATTTGACTCATTTCTCTCTGCCTCCTTCTTTCCACTCCTCTCCTCTTTTGACCTCACCCTCTCACCATCCCCCCCCACTCACAAGGCAGGCAATACGCTTGACTTCATCTTTACTAGATGTTGCTCTTCTACTAATCTCACTGCAACTCCCCTCCATGTCTCCGACCACTACTTTGTATCCTTTTCTCTCTCGCTCTCCTCCAACACTACTCACTCTGCCCCTACACAGATGGTAACGCGCCGCCGCAACCTTCGCTCTCTCTCTCCCACTACTCTCTCCTCTTCCATCCTATCATCTCTTCCCTCTGCTCAATCCTTCTCCCTCCAATCTCCTGATTCTGCCTCCTCAACCCTCCTCTCCTCCCTTTCTGCATCCTTTGACTCCCTGTGTCCCCTATCCTCCCGGCCGGCTCGGTCCTCCCCTCCAGCTCCGTGGCTTGATGACTCATTGTGAGCTCACAGAACAGAGCTCCGGGCAGCTGAGCGGAAATGGAAGAAAACTAAACTCCCTGCCGACCTGGCATCTTTTCACTCCCTCCTCTCTACATTTTCTTCATCTGTTTCTGCTGCTAAGGCCACTTTCTACCACTCTAAATTCCAAACATCTGCCTCTAACCCTAGGAAGCTCTTTGCCACATTCTCCTCACTGCTGAATCCCCCCCCCCCCCCCTCCTCCCTCTCTGTGGATGACTTCGTCAACCACTTTGAAAAGAAGGTTGACGACATCCGATCCTCGTTTGTTAAGTCTAATGACACTGCTGGTCCTGCTCACACTGCCCTACCCTATGCTTTGACTTCTTTCTCCCCTCTCTCTCCAGATAAAATCTTGCGACTAGTGACTGCAGGCCGCCCAACAACCTGCCCGCTTGACCCCATCCCCTCCTCTCTTCTCCAGACCATCTCCGGTGATCTTCTCCCCTACCTCACCTCGCTGATCAACTCATCCTTGACCGCTGGCAATGTCCCTTCCGTCTTCAAGAGAGCGAGAGTTGCACCCCTTCTCAAAAAACCAACACTCGATCCCACTGATGTCAACAACTACAGACCAGTATCCCTTCTTTCTTTTCTTTCCAAAACATTGAGCGTGCCGTCTTTAGCCAACTCTCTTGCTATCTCTCTCAGAATGACCTTCTTGATCCAAACCAGTCAGGTTTCAGGACTGGTCATTCAACTGAGACTGCTCTTCTCTGTGTCACGGAGGCTCTCCGCACTGCTAAAGCTAACTCTCTCTCCTCTGCTCTTGTCCTTCTAGACTTGTCTGCTGCCTTTGATACTGTGAACCATCAGATCCTCCTCTCCACCCTCTCCGAGCTGGGCATCTCCGGCGCGGCTCACTCCTGGATTGCGTCCTACCTGACCGGTCGCTCCTACCAAGTGGCGTGGCGAGAAGCTGTCTCCGCACCACATGCTCTCACCACTGGTGTCCCCCAGGGCTCAGTTCTAGGCCCTCTCCTTTTCTCCCTATACACCAAGTCACTTGGCTCTGTCATATCCTCACATGGCCTCTCCTATCATTGCTACGCTGACGATACACAACTAATCTTCTCCTTTCCCCCTTCTGATAACCAGGTGGCGAATCGCATCTCTGCATGTCTGGCAGACATATCAGTATGGATGACGGATCACCACCTCAAGCTGAACCCTGGCAAGACGGAGCTGCTCTTCCTCCCGGGGAAGGACTGCCCGTTCCATGATCTCGCCATCACGGTTGACAACTCTGTTGTGTCCTCCTCCCAGAGTGCGAAGAGCCTTGGCGTGACCCTGGACAACACCCTGTCGTTCTCCGCTAACATCAAGGCAGTGACCCGATCCTGCAGGTTCATGCTCTACAACATTCGGAGAGTACGACCCTGCCTTACACAGGAAGTGGCACAGGTCCTAATCCAGGCACTTGTCATCTCCCGTCTGGATTACTGCAACTCGCTGTTGGCTGGCCTCCCTGCCTGTGCCATTAAACCCCTACAACTCATCCAGAATGCCGCAGCCCGTCTGGTGTTCAACCTTCCCAAGTTCTCTCACGTCACCCCCCCTCCTCCGCACACTCCACTGGCTTCCAGTTGAAGCTCGCATCCGTTACAAGACCATGGTGCTTGCCTATGGAGCAGTGAGGGGAACGGCACCTCCGTACCTTCAGGCTCTGATCAGTCCCTACACCCAAACGAGGGCATTGCGTTCATCCACCTCTGGCCTGCTGGCTCCCCTTCCTCTGCGGAAGCATAGTTCCCGCTCAGCCCAGTCAAAACTGTTCGCTGCTCTGGCACCCCAATGGTGGAACAAGCTCCCTAACGACGCCAGGACAGCGGAGTCACTCACCACCTTCCGGAGACATTTGAAACCCCACCTCTTTAAGGAACACCTGGGATAGGATAAAGTAATCCTCCTACCCCCCCCCCCCCCCCCCAAAAAATAAATAAATATATATATATATATTTAAAAAAAATTGTAAAGAGGTTATCCCACTGGCTATAGGGTGAATGCACCAATTTGTAGTCGCTCTGGATAAGAGCGTCTGCTAAATGACGTAAATGTGCCCTTGAGCAAGGCACTTAACCCTAATTGCTCCTGTAAGTCGCTCTGGATAAGAGCGTCTGCTAAATGACTAAAATGTAAATGTAAATGTAATTAAGTCAAACTGTGAACAGAAAAGGGTGAAATGGGTAAATTGTCGTGGAAATTCACCACTAAGGACTCAAACTCAATGAATCAATTTTTATTATCACGGCTGGAGAGGTTCAAACTAAAATCAAGCTTGATAAAAACTCTGAAAACGGCATTCCCTCTCAGTCCTTATATACTGCCACACAAGTCATATAAGCATGATTTACATTATTCATTATCAACGTTGGTTCCTGCATGTGACTGACGAGGCGTCTTCTCTCAAAGCTGAGACCTTGAAACTGAGATAATCCTTTTGGATCCCAGAACAATGTTCTGGGTGTACTGCCAATTGGTCTGAGGAGGAGGTCACGGTCACCTGCACAAACCAAGATTGAGTGAGAGGAGATGCTGTGTACAATTCAATGCTATCTCTTCAGACAACAAAATGTTCCCTCACAGGTACACAAATAAAGCCAAGGGTAATTACAAATATCCCAATGTACACTCAAACTTAGCACGTCTGGTGCAATAACAAAGGCACTAAATAGATAATATAGGCACTGCACATGTTTACATGCGCACAGTATTCCGGATACTAGCTCATATCTCGCTTATGGTCTTATTCGGGATAAGCTGTTTACATGCACCTTTTGATATCCAGCTCCCTGTTTCCATGAATAAAAATAATATTCCTCATTTAAATTCATATGGGTTAAATTAAATAGTAACTGAAATATGGACACTGACTGTAGGCCTATAACTGCTCATGTAGCGTAATATAATATAAACTCCTGCAGAATTATCCATTGCTTGCAGTATAATTATACAAATGTAAATTTTGTCTTGGGAACAGGATGTGGAGAAATATTTATTTCAGCATCTCTTGAGAAAATGTGAATGCGCTGTTATGACACTTATGCAACCAGACAGTATTTCAAACACATTAAATACGCATCCAAGACGAAGTAAAGTCTTATCGGAAACATGTTTTATCGTTTTCTCAGATTTTCATTTCCTTAAAACCGGTCAAACTGATGACATTTGGACATTTTGCACAGGACCAATCTTTCCACTGTTTGGAGTTATTGCGTTTTCTCCCGGTCCCTAAACAAAACAGACAACTATAACTACGTTAACTACATTAATAATGCATTCATTCTATCGATTAAGACATTATTCTGGTGAGCACTACTTTATTTAGTCTTCTGGGGCAAAAAGGTATGACAGACCAGAAGCTGCATGTATCTAACTATAGTTCACAAACAAATGGCCTACCAAATCTCAGAAATTATAATATGGCCTACCAAATGTAAAAAATTATAAGCAGCAAAATAAATTATCATGGTGGATCGAAATGCGCAGGTAGACTACTTTTTGAAGTGATTTGTTTGACAAATCAGATGAAAACATCATCACACAACACCAATGATATGCGAAACTGAGCCTGTGCAGACCGTGAAAAACAGTAAACGGAATAGGATGTTTACATGCAACAGTATACCGTCTAAGATCAGCATATCCCAGGCATCTAATCCGGGTTTCTCATAACCGGGATACAAGCCTTTTCGGGTTATTGTAAACGAGATATGACGTTTATATATGCATTAACTCAAAAACAGAATACTTGAGTATCATTAATAATAACGGGATATTGGTGTGCATGTAAACGTGGTCAGTGTTAAAAAGAAGTAGGCCTATTTGGTAATAGTAACATTTAAAAAACACCAGTGCAAAACCATTTTTAAGCGTGCTTTCTAAAAGCATCATCATGATTAGGCATGCACATTTTTTATGAAAATTACTTACAAAAAAAAAATACATCAAATAAAACATTGACTGAGTGCTTAACCTAAATCAATGAATCAACTATCAATAAATACCAATTCAGTCAATCCACATGTCTATAAGAATAACAGCTCATCATCCTCCTCGAGCACCTACATCAGAACCACTTTGGCAACCATTTCACAGCCATTCCTCCTACTTTGGGAATTATTCCTGGAAGGAACAAGGTAGCTGCAGTCCCAACAGTATCCAGAGCTGTGTTCATAAATGAGGGGGTTTTCTGTTCCTCTTCTGCCTTCGCACCCTTAAGGGCATCTATCTCTCTTTGCATTTGGTGTGCTCTGTCATCAAACCCTTGCTGGAGAAGGTCATTCTGCTCCTGAAATTACAAGGTTTGTTTTTACACATCACAGACAGTGTCACTAAAACAAAACACATACACACAGTTAATCTTACCCCTACAGTTACTGTAGTTTAAAAAAGTGTACTTCTCAATGTTTGTGTTTTTTTATTCTTACCCTGAGTCTGGCCTGCAGAACTCTATCGTAATCTGCTATGGCATTTCTACTGTCTCTCTTCATCCTCTCCATCAGCTGGTTCACATTCTCCTCATATGTCCTCTGGTGGTCCGCTCTCAACCTCTCCTGGACTTCCAGCTGCTCTTCCATGGCACGATTCTCCCGTTCAGATGCTTCCCTTTTCGCTTTCTCCGCTGCAGAGAAAGAATAGACAGAGTATGTGAGAGAGAGAGAGAGAGAGAGAGAGAGAGAGAGAGAGAGAGAAGAGAGAGAGAGAGAGAGAGAGAGAGAGAGAGAAATAAATAAATATCAAAGAGAGCGAGAGGTTAGCCTCCATTTGAGATGGAAAATTGTTTTGTGTTATTCCATTCAGCCAGGAAGAACTATTGGATATCAGAGCGGCGGTAACTCACCAGCACTAACCAGCATTAACGACTTTCCCCGAAGCGGATCCTTTGTTCGCACCCCCCAGGGCAATTGAACTGGTTCCAGAGGCCGACCCAAAACAACGCAGGAGGATAGGTACTCGGAGCGGTCTTCTAGTCCGACTTAGGAGGCGTGCACACCACCCACCGATTCCAAGTATATTACTCGCTAATGTTCAGTCTCTGGATTATACATATGACGAGCTCAGGGCGAAGGTTTCTTTCCAGAGAGACAGGGATTGTAACATACACTGTTTCACGGAAACATGGCTCTTTCGGGATATACTCTCTTGTCACTTATTAACCATAATTTATTCACATTACTTTTATAAAATATTTGTTTTATTATTTCATTCCAAGTCATCATCTCATCTCTATAGAGCTGCTGCCTATGCTGTCTGACAAAATCACTATTTTAGTAGTTCTTCAAGTAAATAAGGCATACTTATATGACTGCTGAATACCAACTATCAATCACTTAGATCATGTATTTTCAGGCTCACGCAGTTCACACGTTCTCTCTTCTCTCCGTGTCTGCGCTGCACAGACCGGAAAAGTTTAAGCGGGCATGCAATGGATTATGGTCATTGTAGTGAATTACCCACGTTTCTTTCTGCGCTAAACTATGAAGAATATTGGCCTGTAGGAAACTACAACTCCCTACTACATCGCACAGTTCAGGCTTGATCTGATTTATCTCTACAAAAACAACACATCGAGCTCACAGAAAAAAACCGAAAGAAATGGAATTCAAATAATTGAACCGATGTCTTTCAATTAGTTGTTTAAAAAACCTAAATATAACCGACATTTTGGTTAATCGCTCAGCACTACTAACATAACACTGCACTGTATTTTAAACTGGTGTCTGACTCAAAAGAATCAGAAAGGATTTATCCTTACTCTGATTGTGTGATTGTGGAAATTTCCTCTAACCAAATTAGAATGATAGATCTACATTTGTTTATAGCCAGCTGCTGGCCTGCTGAAGGATACTGTAGTTTCTCCAGGGCGTTGTTGTCGATGGTTCCCAGGCTGTTGTACACCAGAGTACTGCTGAGCAGGACAGCCAGGGAAAAGATCCAGTTGTCATTCTTCTCATCACCCTGCAGACACAACAGAAGGAACACATTGGTATTCTGTTCAAACTAGAGTGAAATTAAGTCAGTGAGGAAAATCCAGCATTAAGTTTGTTACAATTCTAGAACAAGCCATTACTTTTGCTGTGTGTTTTTTAACTTGTTTTATGTTACAGCATGACGTTTGTTTAAACTCTACAATAAGCCTAAACTGTATGTTTCTAACCTGCTTTATGTACAGTGGGGAGAACAAGTATTTGATACACTGCCGATTTTTGCAGGTTTCCCTACTTACAAAGCATGTAGAGGTCTGTCATTTTATCATAGGTACACTTCAACTGTGAGAGACGGAATCTAAAACAAAAATCCAGAAAATCACATTGTATGATTTTTAAGTAATTTCATTTGCATTTTATTGGCATGACATAAGTATTTGATACATCAGAAAGCATAACTTAATATTTGGTACAGAAACCTTTGTTTGCAATTACAAGATCATACGTTTCCTGTAGGTCTTGACCATGTTTGCACACACTGCAGCAGGGATTTTGGCCCACTCCTCCATACAGACCTTCTACAGATCCTTCAGGTTTCGGGGCTGTCGCTGGGCGATACGGACTTTCAGCTCCCTCCAAAGATTTTCTATTGGGTTCAGGTCTGGAGACTGGCTAGGCCACTCCAGTACCTTGAGATGCTTCTTACGGAGCCACTCCTTAGTTGCCCTGGCTGTGTGTTTCGGGTCGTTGTCATGCTAGAAGACCCAGCCACAACCCATCTTCAATGCTCTTACTGAGGGAAGGAGGTTGTTGGCCAGATCTCGCGATACATGGCCCCATCTATCCTCCCCTCAATACTGTGCAGTCGTCCTGTCCCCTTTGGAGAAAAGCATCCCCAAAGAATGATGTTTCCACCTCCATGCTTCACGGTTGGGATGGTGTTCTTGGGGTTATACACTCCTTCTTCTTCCTCCAAACACGGCGAGTGGAGTTTAGACCAAAAAGCTCTATTTTTGTCTCATCAGACCACATTACCTTCTCCCATTCCTCCTCTGGATCATCCAGATGGTCATTGGCAAACTTCAGACTGGCCTGGACATGCGCTGGTTTGTGCAGGGGTCCTTGCGTGCGCTGCAGGATTTTTAATCCATGATGGTGTAGTGTGTTACTAATGGTTTCTTTGAGACTGTGGTCCCAGTTCTCTTCAGGTCATTGACCAGGTCCTGCCGTGTAGTTCTGGGCTGATCCCTCACCTTCCTCATGATCATTGATGCCCCACAGGTGAGATCTTGCATGGAGCCCCCGACCGAGGGTGATTGACCGTCATCTTGAACTTCTTCCATTTCTAATAATTGCGGCAACAATTGTTGCCTTCTCACCAAGCTGCTTCCTATTGTCCTGTAGCCCATCCCACTTGTCAGGTCAAATTTTTATCCCTGAGTTTTACACGCTCCCTGGTCTTCCCTGTACGGATCCCCGCCGAGGCTGCTCCTCCTCCTTCTCGGGCAGGTTTCGGCGTTGTCCCCCCCGGGGGGTTTAAAACTACTCCCTTTTGGAATGTTTTCGAGTTTTTTTGTATGTCTAGTTAGTCCCTGTTTCGTATTCTGTTTTGATTATGCCCTTAAGTTCCCCTATGTTTTTTTTTTTTTTGTGTTTTGTTGTCCCCCTTTCTGAATGTAAGGTTGGTACCTTTGGGCATTTTGTGTGATTTTACCACTCGCGATTTTTCGCCTCTTGTTTTTTTGGGAGGTTTTAATTTTTTGTACCTATAGGGGTGATTAGAAAATGTCTTGACTTATTCCTTTGTTCGTTTGTTTCACCACCGCATCCCATCACACCTTGACAGAATAACCCCCTTTTTAGGATCAGCAGGAGCACCCGGGGGTGACCGTTCACTGGAGGATGGGCAGCAGCCGGACGCCTGACCCAGCGACTGGCTCGCCTAAAAGGCGTCATGGACCTCTCGCCTGGGAAAAGAAGGTTTTGCCCCCCCCTCCTACCTACCCCACCAGGGGCCCAGCCCCATAACCAGCTCCGAGTCCGGGGATTCGGCTCTCCCCCCCGGGGGCATATATGGCACCGAGCCGGGTGCCCGGGGTTCCCCTTCAAAGGGGAACTCTCCCCTGGCAACCATAACCCGGCGCCCTGGGGATACAAGGTTTCCCCCCTATCCCTTCTCTCCGGCAAGGTTTGGGTGGGCCAATGCCGAATGGGGGAATGACCCGAAACTATCCACGCGGATTCTCCCCCGCCGCTTCAGGGCTTTTTTCCCCATCCCCCCAAGGTAAAGGGCGGGGGAGCTCGTTCCCCCTCCGCGGGGGAAGGGGAGCGCACAGATTTTGCCCGGGACTTCCGGACTCTAGGGGGGGAAGGGGGTGGAATGAGAGGGCCCCATCGACCACTATCGTTGAAGCCTGCGAGGGACGTCGACAGATTTTGGCCTGCAGGGACCCCAATCTAACCTTCACGGTTTGGTGGAATGTCAATCCTCTGGATACCGCGGCTCCCCGGGACTCCGAAGTTGGGGCCGTCCTTTCCCATCCCCCAGACCTCCGAGCCGAGCCCTATGAGCTGGGGGGTCTGGCACTTAGAGAGGGGAAAGAAGATCCGGAGGGAGGTGTCCCCCTCACCAAACTGGGGCCGTAGAGGACACACTGCGGTTCGTGCTGGGGGGGGCCTCCAGGGGACGGGGCGGGTTACGCACTGGGGGGTATTCCGGGGAGTAGGCCCCCAAACTCCCCCAGAGCTCTCTGTTGTTCACTGTTATCCCTGTAGTATTTTCCCCAGGTTGCATCTCATTCCCACAAAAGGCCTAGTCGTTCAGGGCGCGGGGAAATTTTTATTGAAATTTTTTGTTTAAAGTTAGGTTTCCCCCCTCCAAAACAGTGTGTCCTTTCCCTATTCTCCCTAGTTGCCGTCCTTGGGATCGGGTTTTGATTGGGGAGGTCACAGCCCACAAAAGATGAAGGCCAGGGGGGTATGAAGAGATCTTTTTTTTATTTTCGACACTCCCCTGCTATCCCGTGGGGTGGGGCCCCCTTGGGTTTTAATCACCCATGACCCCACCTTTTTCGTGGCAAAAAGGGGCTCTAAAAGGAGGGGTCTGACCATGTGTTGGGCATGTTAGGGGTGTTCCGTAGGGGGGACCACGGGGAAAAATCCAAACCCCCAATTGCCCACTGCCATTCCCCTGAGTATGGGGTTTTTGGCCCGTGTTCCAAGACTAGGGCACGCGTTTTGCCACCTCAAACGGGGGATTGTGAATAGACCCCAGGCAGGCGCTGCCCCCCACTTTCATGTGATCCCCTCTCAAAGGAGAAGGGGCTATAAACATACATACCGGGCTCTGAGACGGGGGATACAAGGGCCCTCCACTCCCCGACCCTGGGTTTCTTTTTTTTGTAAGAGAAGGAGGGGGGTTGCACCCGTTATGGATTACCGTAGTCTAAATCAGACACGTGAAAACAGTTCCACCCCTCGATTGCGAGTAGACGAATCATTCACGGACACGTTTTTCTTCAAAAAATGATTCAGGAGCGCCTCAACTTGGTGCGCATTAGGGGGGGAGTGAAAAAGACAGCTTTTGTACCACCTCGGGTCACTAGAGTATTCGTCATCCATTTTGGGTTAATGAATGCTCCATCAGTTTCAATCCTTTGGGGTACGGAATTTTCCCAGGTTTTGCAGGGCGGGGGTTGTAGTGTATATTGTGACATATAGTTTACTCTTCTACACGACCAGCATTTACCCCGGGTGCTCAGTGTTGGGTAGGCTGTTGGGCTGACTTGTATGTCAGGCGGGAAAAAATGTCTGTTTTTTGAGGAGCCTTTTCCTGGGCCATCGATTGTCCGCGTCAAGGGTGGAGATGGAGATGACCGCTTTCAGCGGCGTAATTGGCAGACTCCAACCCACTTTTAAGGAATGCCGGTTTTTGGGTTTTGCCAATTACTCCCGGAGGTTTTCGGGTTTTTGGGAAAGGGTAGCCCTCCCACCCCCCCCTGCAAAAGGGGGGCCCGGGCGTTTCAGGGGTCAGCTGGGGACAGGGCGTTTGGTAAACTAAAGGCCCTGTTCACCTCTCCCCGGTGCTGGCCATCCGGACCCCCGCTTTAGCGTTCCAGGTGGAGGTGGACCGTCAAGGGCCGGGGATTGGGGCTGTGTTTCTAACGCTAGGCACGCCCCCAAACTCCGGCCCTGCGTTTTTACTCTAAGAACTCACCCCGGGGGAATAATTATGCGTGGGGACAGGGAGCTGCTAGCCGTGGTTCAAGCCCTAAGGTGTGGGGGCTTGGCTTGAGGGGGTCCAAAACCCCTTTTTTCATTTTGACTGACCATCGTACCTGGAGTACATTGGGCACTGGAACGAACCCCGTCAGGCTAGGGGACCAGTTTCTGGCCCGTTCGTTTTAAGCTCATTACATCCCCGGGCCCAGAACGGAAGGGATACCCCTGTCCCCGGGGATATGACACGAGGAGGGTCCTTGAGCCCATCCCTAGCCAGGTTTTGTCTGGTGGCACCGGGGTGTGGGGGGTCGATGCGGAAAACGAGCGGGGGGGTTCCCCGACCCTACTCCCCCCAGAGGGTTTTCCCGGGGGAAAAACTACGTTCCGCTCAGATTCGGGGTTTTCTCAATATTGGGGTAAAAACGTCACCCTCCCTGGACTCCTGGGGATTGGGCCGGACAGTGCACTTTTTTAGCAAAATACTGGTGGGCCAAAATTTGGTAAGGCGTGAGGGTTTATTTTTCCCCCCGCTCGGTGTGCCTAGTGTAAGGCGCCCGACCCTGCCCGGGGGGAAAATACAAACCCCCTTCCCCCTCCACAACGGCCCTGGTTACCTCCGGTAGACTTTTTTCCGGACCTTCCCCCTCCCAGGGGGAATACCACCTTCTGGTCGTTGGGATCGGTTCTCTAAAACCCTTTGTCTCATCCCCAATGCCGGGGCTCCCTACTGCCCTACAACTCGAGGCTTTGTTTTCCCACGTCTTCCGCATAGGGGTACCCGAGGATATAGTGTCTGATCGGGGTCCCCAT